GCTGGCTGCAGTGGGATTTAATAGGCCAGAGCCTGGCATCGCTGTCCTTTCAGGGGTGATGACGGGAACAACCATAGGGTGAACAGTGGAGCTGTTCCCACTGGAGAGCAAAGCAGGCTTGATGCCACACACCCTCCCCCCTCCCCGCTTGCACCCTGCCACCCCTGTCTCCAATCAGGCATCCCCTCCAGGGCCAGAGAGGGACAGCCAAGAAATCAGAGAGTGTTCGTGACTTGTACTTGGCAAGCCAGAAACAGAAAGCTCCACATGGCAAAACTAAATAAGAGTTTTTTTAACCCAGATGTGAAAGATTGAAGTGATGTGTTGGAGGGTCCTTTCAGTTGACAAAACACTTGGACTGTGTCACCTCTTCTGAGATCCAACTCAGAGAGAGTATGGGAAGTGGGGCAGGTCTGAAACTATTGTTTTCACTGTCTTTTTGGTCCTTAGGCACCCACCTGACTAAATAAATAAATAAATAGTAGGATAATAACAAAACCCTCAGAAAAGTTGTTTACTCTGCAGTTGACACACAAACTCTGTTTCTCAGTTTGGAACTCTTCTGGTAAAGAGTTAGTGAAAAGATAGTCCTGCTTCTGCTACCCTGAAACAAGGTCCCTCCTGGAAGCCCTTTCTTCCTGTGCTAGTCAAAAGAAAGTCCTGGTGTATGTATCGAGGATAAGGTAGGGAGTGGAAATGAAGCAAAGATGCTTAGAAGATTTATATTTTTCCCTTTAAGTCTGCAATGTATGAGGGAATGTTATAGAACTATGTATAATCGCAGAATCAGGATTCTTTTTAAATCAGAAGAGTTCTTACAGACCCCCTGGTATTTTTCTTGTTGTCAGGCGAGGAAAGTGAGGCCCAGAAAAATGTGGTGGCTTGGCCAAGGCCTTGCAATGGGTTCATAGAACCCACTACTCCTTCCTTAATGTTCTTATTGCTGTCGTAGGTGAGATAGAGACAGAAATTGCTGTCCAGCACCTCTTTTGAGTTCTCCATTTTGATGTGTATCTGACGGGGCTAAGAGAGCCCCTAGGAATGGGGTTGCTGGGCCATGAGCAATAGAGCTTCCACACTTCTGTTTTTATGTTGTCCTTCTTCATCTTCCCTCTACCTCTGGGAAAACAGCTTTCCCTGAAAAGAGCCCATGGTTGCTTTTAGGGCATCCTTTTCTTAGTATGGATGGCTCTTAGAAACAAGTTCCGTAGAAAGTGCCCTGACTGAAGGTGAAATAACAGGCACATTACTTGAGCACTTCCTATATGCAAAGCAATTTGCTGGGAGACACAGACACATACACTGATCCATCCACTACATGTAACAAAAAGATCCTCTGCAGTCAATAGTTGCCTTTTATTTTTCTTAAAAGTGCTTGGAGCATCCATGTCTCACTATTTATTTTTGGTGGATCAAACAATATTTATGTGTGTGAAATGGGTGTATACAATGAAGTCCTCTTCCTCACAAATTGGTATTATTTTATAGTAAAAATAATAATATATAGTCAAATCCAGACTTATGAAGCAGTTAAATATATGCAGAATCTGTGCCTTTTTTTTTTTTTTACTTTATTTTTTAGGCAAGGCAACCCTTGGTTGACCTCACAGATTGCAAGGACTTTGTCATTTTATAATCCCTTATTTTTCAGTTTTTTACACTACAGCACCTGGTCTTCCAAGGTGGTCTCCCCCATCCAAGTACTAACCAGGCCCAACCCTGCTTAGCTTCCAAAATCAAATAGGATAAGGCTTGTTCAGGGTAGCATGGCCATAGACAAAATCTGTGCTTTCTAAAAATTGTTTAATGAATAACAAATATTCAATGGTTAATGTGAAGTATACCTGGCTCCTGTTTCTCCTGAAGTTACAAAACACCATACGTGACCTGCATACAGGTAATAGCCCAATGGTATCTCAAGCTAACTAGTAGTCTCTTTTTTTCCACTGATTATTCAATCCTCTCCTTTTCCAGCCTGGGCATAGAAACTATCTGGACTTTTGTAAGTCATCAAATTGCAGAGGCCTAGGTGGTTACAGAAAGAGTAAGCTTCAGAGATAAAATTTCTCTCACCTTCTTTTTCCATGGAGTTGAGAGTCCAAAGTCAAGTCATTGCTGTTGGACAGGACTGGGCAGGACTGGAGCTGAGGGCAAAGGTTAAAGTAGCTGCTGCTTGCACACGTTCTCCTAGGCTGCCACCCCCTTCTCCCCAGAGTCCACACCCCAGATGCTGTAGATGTGCACTAGCTAGGACAGTGATTATAAATGGCTATTTAAATTTAATTTATATAAACATCCAGTTCCTAGTTGCAATAGCCACATTTCCAGTGCTCAACATCACATGTGTTAGGGGTTACCAGGTCAGATAGTGCAGATATTGAACATGCCCATTATTACAAGGAATTCTACTAGACAGCATTGCTGCAGGTGAGCACGCCCTCCCTCTCGAATTTCTCTCACTCCTTTTTCTGCTTGCCAAGCTTGTTATTCAAATAAATCAAATGTCACCTCTAGCAAAGACTCTCTCTCTGACCAAACTTCAGTTAGGCTCCTCTGCCCCCTTTTCTCGACTAGGCCTCAACTTTGGGCTTCTTTGTCTATCCTTGCCATGTTTGGTTTTAGAAAAAAACCCTGTTTAGGGAGAATGCTCCACCCTCGATATCTGATCAATCCCTATGCCACCTTCAGCAAGAATCCCGTTAAGTCAGTTTAACAAGTCTCTTGATGTCTCTCCTTAGTAATTTTTCATCCACTGACCCCCTCACTCTGCTTGATGACTGTAAATCCCCACTTGTCCTTATTCTATTTGGAGTTGAGCACAATCTCTCTCCCCTATTATAATATTCTTATTGTAATAGTCCTGAATAAAGTCTTTCTTACCGTTATAATAGGCTTCAGAATAATTTTTTCTTCGGCACCTCTCTTATGAAACTCTCCGTCTTGCCCCTAGAAAGAAATTAATTCTATGCTATCTTAGCACTGTGTAAATTACCCTTCGAAAGCCAATATCTTGTGGTATTATACTCATTGATGTGTTTGTCTTCCTTTATGGATCACTGAACTCTCATGAAGAGTATGAGTCAGAAGGCTAAGTTCAAAGCCTTCTGATGGCACTTACTAGCTGAATGAGCTTGAGCAAGTAACTTTATGTCTCTAAGCCACAATTTTCTCACTTGTCAAATGAGGATAATAAAAATGCTTCCCTTGTAATGATTAAATGAGACAATCCACTGTGTCCGGCACAGAGTAACTACATCCACCCCCAGTCTTTGTTTGATTCCATACCTAGCAATTGAAGATGGGAGTGAAAGATTTTCTTTCTAAGTCTGAAAATCAAGTCCCATTCCTTCACTATCTAGTTATAAAGGGCCGTACTTGCAGCCTTCCCTCGACACTCCTATCGGAAATAAATCAGACTAATTAATCTTTTTTCTTTTTTACTCTATGCTGTCAAATTTAGCTCCACAAAATATCAGGAAAATAAGCTGTTGATAAGACCAAACTGAGTTTATTCTTACTGCAGTAATGAAAAACACTACCTTGATAGAGTGGTGGTAGTGGCTCAGGGACAGCAGAACAAAGTAGTGATATTGACTGAGACTTTGAAGTTTGGCTTGGGGGCAGGAGTTGATTTCAATTGGGTAAGATCATGATATAATAGTTTAGGATTGGGGGACACAGCAAAGCAAGGATTTTTAAACCAAGGATTCTAAGAATCTTAGAGTGTGCAGAATTGTCATGTCATGCTTTCTATTGAAAAGTTGGTGGTTTAGGAAGTTTATAAAATGAACAATGGATTTGCATTTTTAACTTTCAGGCAAGAGTCATGAAATATTGTCATATTAATGTAGACAGTAAGCTGTGTAGGTGTAGGAGGTGTCAGTTCTCAGTGCTTTTTAAAAAGCTAATAAGTAAAATTAAGGGAAATGTATCCAGGATACTGACAGCACTTATCTCTGTAGACAGAGTTTAAAATGGAAGAGTATTATTTTGGTAACCCAGAAGGTGATTTGAATTTTCAACAGAAGCCTCACTCCCTGGTTTAGTCATCATTTGCCACCATCTATTTATCTTAGTTGAATGTCTCCAGTCTTGTGAGAAGGCAGAATTAGAAATGCTCAGTCTCCTGCCTGAAACCTAAAGTGGCTTCAAGGTCATTAATTCTCCCATTAGATGACAGAAAGTTTCTTTCCATATTTAGACAGATGCTACTCCGTTGGAAAAAGGCACTTCTGAATTTAACTTTCCATAGATAGCAGTGTTAAAAAAATTGTTATTCTCACACTCATTAAAATGTAAGACTTTATCCGGAACTATTGAAATGGGGACATTACAACAGGAGAGAGAGATTGTGCTCAACTCCAAACACAATAAAGACAAGTGGATGGAAAATAACTAAAAGGAGACATTGAGGGTAAGGGGGATTCTTGCTAAACCAATGTAGGATTCTTGCTGAAGGCAGTCCAAGGAGTATTCAGATAAAAAAGATGGGGAATTCTCTCTAAACTGACTTTCCAGGATTCTCGCTGAGTTTATTCTTACTGCAGTTAGGAAGCGCACTACCTTGACAGAATTAACACTAAAGAATAATTTCTTTATAGAAAAGGAATGAGAAACACAAAATCTAGGAAAATTGCTGGGTCTTCTTTAGAGGCAGGTGGAAGGTATGGTTAACGCCAAAGGGAGTCTTCTCTATAAGACCCTTAGCGAAGTGTTATGGGGAGACAGGAGAAATATAAAGATGACATCTCTATGGTCCTTCAAAGTTTAAAGTGTTCTCATTTAAATAAATAAATAAATAAGGTGGTTTTTTTGTTTGTTTTTGTTTTTTAAGTAAGTAAACGACTTGATCTATGGGAAGAAATAAGCTCTTTGGGGTGAGCTCGCTGCTCCGGACGGGGGAAAACCACAGAGTGTAGTACCTGAGGATACCTAGGGCCCAGGCACCTGAACACTACAAGTCCCAGCAAGCACCGCGGTAGGGCGGGGGCTTGATGACCGTTATGACGTAAGAAGGGGGGTCAGAAGGGATAAGCTCTCCCTAAGATTTTTGGCCCCGCCCTGTTCCCTGCCCTGCCCTGCCCTGTTGCTGTTGCGCGGCTGCCGGCTGCTTCCTTGTGGTGAGTCCCTAGAATGAAGGGGGTTAATTAATGGTAGTTGGGCCCATAGTTCCCCCAAATCAGACTTCCAGTCCTGAGACAAGACTTCGGGCTGTAGAGGTGCGGCCGGTTTCGGTTTTCATCTCCTTTCATCTTTCTAGGGTGACAGTAAGTGGGAGTGGCGTCATGGAGCCCCTGGAGCCACTTCCGCGGCCCTGAAAGGCTGAGGGACAGTTTTCTTCCGAGGAAGGCAAGGGTTCAGTGCTTGCGACCAGGTGGGAGGCTCCTTGGGTGTTAGTGAGCCCCTCGGACAGGAGTGAGGATCTTGACGTCACGCCATCATGCCCCCTCTCGCGGGCTGAGGACCTGGTGGTTCCTTAATCCTTGTCCTTAACATCATCCCCCTTTGCTTCGAGGCTGATGCGGGAGACTGCCGAGTCACTCTAGGCAAGATACTTTCTCTTTGGGCCTCATTTTCCCTGTCTAAGAATAGGCTTGATATTCCTGAAGCCTCTTGCCTTCAGATGAGGCCTCTGTAATTGGAGGAGGTGTTCTCGGCCGCCGAGAAGAGAGCACCTGAAGTATAGTGACGTGCATCTTTACGGTGTTCTCCCATAGCTCCTCCCACCGCCACCAGCAGTCCAGTTTAGTTTGGAGGCTCATGTTCCCACTCACATTATGATTTCAACCTCTCCCCAGCACGTTAAGCTTTTTCTATCACTTGGATTCTTTGCTCCTGATGCAAGCCAACAAGTGGTCTTGGTTGGAGCTGAGTAAAATAATAAAGATGCTATAAAGTGAGTCCTCACAAGGTGGTCGTAGGTTTTGCAGCTTTAAGCTAACGGTGTATAAGTAAACCAATTTTTCCATAGGCTAATTGACATAAACGAGAATTAAGTTCCTATGGCAGCTCATAAACGTTAGAACTAAATGACATTGAACAAAATGACGTTATTTGAGGACCTTCTGTATAACTTTTCTCTGCTATTGCAAAAATCGTTTGAAGCAAAGGACTTTTTATGTAGTAGATCTCTGTAGATAGTGTAGAGCACATGATTAAGTACCACTCACGTGACTCACCTTCAGGGGTGTTTTCAGAGGGCCTCTACGTGAAACTCTACCCTTTAACAGACTTCACAGCTGTGGGATGGAAAGGACCCTGAGAAAGGTGGTCAGTAAGAGTTCTGTATCACTAACAAGTCGTATTGGCTTTCAAGCCATATAGTACAGCTAGGACTCTTTAAAAACTTTAACCGTGCTTATTGATATAATGCCATGCTTCCTTATGTTCTTAGATGAAGAGACAGTTAAAATGAACTCTTTTACTTCCTTTTTCTTTCACTCAGGATCATTATTATAGATGGAAAGTTTCTGAGAGATTTTCTAACCTGATTCATGCATATTACTGATGAGGAAACTGAGGCCTAAAAGAAGGTACTGTGACTTGGCCAAGATTTCAGAGCTTGTTGGTGGCAGAACTAAGACAGGAACCCAGGTCCCTTGGCTCCTAGCCAAGTCCCTTTTCTACCACACTCCAAACATCATCACTACCGTTGTCATTTCAGGGGTTAGCATAGTCATTCTTTTCAAGGATAAAGTGTAAAATCTCAGTAAAGTAAAATGGAGATTTAGCACACACTTTTGAGCTTTTCACAGTTTCTTCTGGTTGCCTGCATCTCATGTCCCAGAACTATTTTTCAGTTCTTCCCTAGTACTGCTGGCGCTGTGGTGTTGTGGGATGAGGGCCTTCTTAGTACAAATTGGGAAGCCAGCCCAAACAGTTGTTCGTGAGTAGTATTTAAAGCTTCCTAGGGGTATAACAATTTTCTAAGGCACTCTGAAAGATTTTAGGTAAAGAACTAGAATGAACTTGGAAATTTTGAATCAGAACAAGTGGCCTAATAATTTGATGATCAGTGACTCTGTGTCTTTGCTTTTGCTCCCTGTCTCAGGCCATCTACAAACCCATTGGTATCCATTGTCAGTGTTTTCTAAGGATAGTGCTGTGTAAGCATCTCCTCCAGGGCCAGGGAGAAAAGGACTCAAATCAGTTCATCCAGTTGCTAATTGCTAATAGTTTAGGAAGCTAAGTAAGTAGAAGAATGAAGGAATTAGATTGATGTGGGTTTAGTTTTTACTTACCTTTGATTTTACTAATCACAAATGAAGAATCGATTCACCTTTCTCTCTTGGCTGTGGAAGCACTTAGTTTCCTTCTGTGAACTAATCCAGAGAAACTACCTACAGCCTTCCTTTCTCTTGCATATTCCCACTGCTGTAAAAGGCTAATGTAAAAATGCTAGACATTCTTTAAGATAGAATTTTAGTTATTTTTAATAAAGTTATTTAATAACTTTTTAATAACTTATTTAATAAAATTATTAAATAACTTTACTTAGTAAAGTTATTTAAGCATCAACTTAAATCATTCTTCGTGATTCAGCATAATGAGGAAACATCTTTGGGAAAATTGGTGAGTTGGTTTGGTTGAATATTTGCGTCAATATTGGTCAGAATCTGAACCAGGAAGCTTTACAACACTTGGAAATGTTTCTGCTAAAAAGCCTATTAGTGTAGTTTAAAGATTCATTCAGAATAAGCAGAAGTGGAACTAGCTGTTCTTCCTTTTCTTCGGGAGAACGTAAGAAAATCTATGCCCTCGTGGAACAGTCTTGGGAGTAATATATTAGGTTTGAAAAGCTCATTAGGTGAAAATGTGTCAGATTTTTTTAGAAGCCACCAGCCAGTTCAGGGGACTTATTTTAAAATACGTTGCCTATTATTGCCTTCCTCCTCTGAGGACCCTAATTCTTTTGGAAACTGAGCTGAAAAAAAAAAAAGTCACAGCAATGTCAGAGTCCAAGTAAAGTGCCTGTGACAGTTGGAATCTGTATTATTTTCCCATGCTTGATGGTTGTTTCTAAAAATCTTTATTTGTTTTTCCTGGTCACTCCTTATGTGGCCAGTCTTTGACTCAAAGATAAGAGGAAGGAATTTGGTAGAATACCATTCCACAATTTTCAGGGTGCCTAATTCATCCCACTGCTTTTTCTTGAGTTAGTAGCTCTCTGTGCTTCTAAATTCAATTTTTGATGTTCTTATATTTTTTTCTCCCTCCCATGCCTCTATGGATATTGCCAGAATTAGAAGTGGATGGTGGACATATTCTCTAGTGGGAAGAGTGGTTAAAGGAGGGGGAAGTTGATGCTTAAATCATTCTAATTTTCTTTCTACATCCTCCCTGCCTCCCTCTACAAAAGGTCACTTCTAGGCTGCTTTGTCAGAAAGGCAATTTCCCATTTCTCCCAGGGAATTTTATCACTGGGAGGGAGGAAAGGTTTTAAAGATCGCTGACCTTAAAAATCAGTAGATACCTTCCTTCCAGGAAAAGGCAAATGAGGCACCTCCTCACTCACTCAGTTCAGATTGGCATGGTACACATGGCCTTTCCAGCTTCAGCTTTAGTAGGAAGCAGCAAGGGAAGCCACTATGCCTCTCTCCTCGACCCCTTTCCTAGTTTTAACAGAGGAGAATTTTTATTTCAAGAATGATTGAGGTCTAAATACCCAGAGTGCCATTGGGTACCTTCTGTGAGTACTGGGAAGGTGATGGGATCTCTGAAATGAGAAACTTTATGGAGACTCTTACATTTTTGATAAGCAAGGAACCAAGACTGTTGACTTTTCCAGACAGGTTATTAGATTTTCAAATGAATGAAAAGAGATAAGTTTCTGTAAGCTAATGTACTCAAGCCTTGACGTGAACTCTTCCGCGTCATTTTGACTATATATGCTGGCCTTTCTTCAGTGTCCTGTTCATGAGCTAACTTACAAATTGTTTTTCTAATAATGAAAGAGAGGCTGTACCAAGCCCCCAAATCCTTGGCTGGTCTTACCTTTCACAGTAGCCTCCATTCGCAGAGCAGCTTGCAAAGCAGTTTGAGTGTGTGAAAGGTGGATAATGGAGTGTGAATTTTATGGGTCCTTAAGGAAATCAAATCTGTGCCTTTTGTTTTTTTGGCACCATGCCACTTGAACCAGCTCTGCCAGCTGAACCAGCCACACGAAGAATTGACACAGCACTTGGAGATTATCATCTCCTTAATTCTATTTTAGAAAAGAGAAAGCTGAATTACATGCATATCTTATTCTTTCATTTATTCAGTGAATACTCAATTAACAATTATTAGGGGCTAGACATTAAGTTATATATACAGGGGTGATAGTGTTATGAAGGAAAAGAACAGGGAGTATGGTACTTAGGCTAATTCGGACAGGCCCTGAAGTCACTCTTACCTGAGTGTTCTTCAGATCCATAGTCAAAGGACAGATTAAGTCATTTTACATGCTCAGATAAATGGTGCCCCAGGCTTAGAGCAGGGAGGATATGCTGTCCTCAGTCTGACTGGAGACCACTAGGAAAGATAGGGGTCCGAAGGCTGAGAAATCTCCCTGCCCACCCTCCCATAATATCTAAGAGCTCACACAGGCAACAGCTTATCACGAGGGACAAGTCTTGACCTCGACTGCAACATGATCTCTCGCTTCCTTAAGAAAACTGATCTGAGGTTTGAGGTTGAGGATGTGGTTAAACTGTGTCACAAACCAGAAAGCCAATACATTTTTTTCGTTCCTGAACTCACCTCCAAGAACAGATAGTTCAGTGCTTCAAAGTCTCCTTGCCTCTTTCTCTGTGAAAGAAACTGACTTCTGGAGAAGTTGGAAGAAGAGGCCTGGTTGTTTAAGTTTAAAATAAAACCAGGAAATAAGTAGGGTGGGGCGGGGTTAGAAGAGCTACTGTTTTTGTTTTTGTTTTATTATCGTACTTACTTATTTTTTAAATTGTACGTGTGCCTACAATCTTCCAACATGCTCCAACAGCTGAATTTGAAAGGTATCGTGTAGTGTTTGCAATGTACAGCTCCTTATCTATCTGCTGTTTAGAGCTGCAATATTGCTTTTATTTCCCAGTAAAATACCAGGTTGAAAATCATGGACTCACTAAATGTTAGACCAGGGAGGCACTTAGAAAACAGGGCATGTGACTTTTGAGGGGAGGGAAGTATCGGGTCTCAACAATTCACAAGACTTTCTTTGTTTCTCTTATGTATTGTTTACCTCCCAAATATTTTCCCACCCTTGATTGCATTTTATCTGTACTATGACCTAGAAAGGTGAAATGGGGATCCAAACTTGCTTGCTGTCTCTAAACATGGCATGCATTTTTCTGTTTCTTTGCTTTATGCATGGTATTTCATTCACCTGGAATTTCCTCACACCAAACCCACTCGTCAAAATTCTATACTTCCTTGAGGAGCTTATCTAGGATTCTACTCACTTTTGAAGCTTTTCTTCATTCTCCTTACCACTTTATTCTGCCATTCAACGTTTCTCTATTTTGTGTGATGTGCCCATCCTATGGCAAGTACTGATTTAGGGACGATACACTTTACGTTATCTACATTTTCTCAGTTATGCTCACAAAAAGCAAATAAAGTAGATGTTATTAGCCCTGTTTTACAGATGAGGAAACAGATATAGAGCCCAGTTGATTAAACTGCCTAAGATCGTACATTTAATAGATAGTGAAGCTAGAATTTGAATTCCACCATTCTGATTTCAGAACCCATGCTTGTCACCGTTGCATGTCAAATAGTCCCTTTCTTTCATCCCTGTCTTTCTTCCTGTGCCCATCCCCAGCTTTTAGCAGAGTGCCTTAATATATGGAAGGGCCCGATGATTATAGGATAAACGGAATTGAATGGAGAGGCTAAAATCTAGAAAAAATTGACATTCCAAAAGTCACAGGGCTTATTGGGATGAAAAATCTAGACTTTAGGTCTTATAATTCCCAGCTCAGGTTATTTTCCTCTAGGCTGCTTTACTTAAGGCATTGAGAAGTAGGAGAACAAACTAGCTATGAGCAGAGAGAATAGGGGTATGTGAGGGTGGTGTTGCCTGTGGTGAAGAGGGAGGTCAAAGATATTCTCAGAAAATTCTTATGGCCTGGGAAGTTAAGAATGCAGAATGCCTCAAAGTGAAACAGAAAGCAAGTTGTATGATCTCAGTACTAGTCAGGCTTTTGCTTTTCCTGACTTGTCTGGATCGGAATGTTCCCTGGGTGAGAGCCCAGAAATCTCCAGTATTTCGGATAACCCTTTCTGAGCTTTGTTCTATCCCGTATCTCATAACAGGATACCCACCATGGAAGAGACAGTAGAAGACCCCCCCACATCAGCTGTCTTGCTGGATCATTGTCATTTCTCTCAGGTCATCTTTAATAGTGTGGAGAAGTTCTATGTCCCTGGAGGGGATGTCACATGCTATTACACCCTCACCCAGCATTTCATTCCTCGTCGAAAGGACTGGATTGGCATCTTTAGAGTAAGTGGTTAATTTAGTACCAAGTAACTGGGAACTAGAGGTGAATCTTCATTACCTGAGTGTGTGTGACTATCTGTGTATTATGAATGTTTGCATATTATGTCTAGCCAATTTTAAAATCCTAGCACTTCCCCCTTCGCACACCAAAATGTGCTGTGGAACTCAAGTTTTAATTTCAGTCACAAGCTCAAATAAGAGGGCAAATTATACAACCCTAAGTTTTATTATGCTTTCAGAGACCAAATGTAAATTTTTAAAAATTATCCTATTTTGAAATATTCATTTATGACTTGATTGAGATAGGTGGTCTCTCACATAATTTCTGTGACTTTGGATATTACTTTCTTAATAGAGTGTTTAATTTGTTTTCATATGAGTATTACAGATCTGCAGAGAATGTTGAGAAGTTACCTAGTTCGACATCCTGCATTCAAGAAGTTTGTTCCTGAATAAGTGTCTCTTGCTTCTTTGTAAAGCTTTTCGAGGACAGGTTTATGAGGTCCCTCAGTGAACTCCTCCAGTGTCTGATCACCCTGTCAGTTCAAGTACAGAAATGATACTTTTTAAATTATAGTTAAGGTCACCCTCTATCTCTCCTTCTCCCCGATCTGTGTTTGTCTCTGTGTGTCTTTCCCCTCTCTCGCTTTCTGGCGCGCGCGCGCGCGCGATCTCTCTCTCTCTCTCTCTCTCTCACACACACACACACACACACACACACACACCATAATGACAAATCTTCCTATTTCCCAAGACAGGAGATAAAGGTCAACTTTAAGTAATTTACACTGTTGAATCCCAATGTCAGTGACCTTTATTTTGACACCTCGGTGTGTGATATGCTAGTTTGCCAGTGCTGTTCATCCTGAATCAGACATCATTCTTGACTGCACTGTGAAGGATGCTTATTCGCATCCCTCATTGAGTTACTTTTTCTTGTGTGGAATTCCAAGCTAATTGATGGAGCCATGGCAGCTGATATTTAGATGCAAGGATAGTAGACAACCAGAAGGACACTGGCAGCTACCATGACAAGTCCTGAGACTTCAGGATATTGAAACATTAGACCAAAAGATGTTCTACTACAGAAAACTGGCACATCAGAGTGTTTTCTATTTTGGAAAGAAAGTGGTAGTTGTTTTTTTCTTCCCCATATGTAGCGAAGCTGTCTAGTTGAACTTTCCACGGTCAGTACTGTCCAGTAGAAGTTTCCACAATGGAGCTATATACCTCACTGTCCAGTACAGTAGCCTCTAGCCACATGTGGCTATTGAGCACTTAAAATGTGCCTAGTGTGACCGAGTAACTAGATTTTAAATTTTATTAATTTTTAATCAATTTAAACTTAAATAGCCTGATGTGGCTAGTGCCTATCATTTTGGACAGTGCAGGCATAGAAAAAGAGAGGATTAAAAATGTACTTTTAGTCTTTGAAGTGTAATCTGTAACATTTTACGTTTCTGTTTTGCTTACACTGATTGTATTCCCCAAGCACTTAGCAACTTTCAGTGAGGACTTTACCATAAACCAAATGAAAATCTTGAATCTTGTGCTGTTTAAAAACATTTAAAAAATGCATCTTCATTTGAAATGCATCATGCATTTTAGAGATTTGGCCATACCTCAATAAAGAAATCATGGTTAATCCAAAGAATGGCCTCTAATGTTCATTGTCCATAAGGCCATTGATTTGAACACTTACCCTGAAGCCTGAAAGAAAGTTAAGACTAATAGAGAACACAAACTTTTTAAGAATATACAATGTGCTAGGTGTTTGATGAGATTGTGTACGTATGTGTGTGTGTATGTGTTTCTAATTTAATCCTCACATCACAATAGCCTCCTGAAGTAAGTAGTAGTATCTCCACAGATGATATTAATGAATATATTTAAGACGGCGATTTTCTCAAGGCTGCCCAGTAAATGGTGAAGCAAATTTGCTGCACTCCCAAACCTCTGCTTTTTCTCCTCTATTATGCTGAATTCCTTTGAACAACAGATGGTTAACGTGAGAATTCGAAGTTGACTGTGAATTTTTGTCCTTTGTATCTCACCTCTAAAACTCTCCCAATGTTCTTTCAGTGTGGTCTTAATCGTATTGCTCAATTTTGTGTCAGCCATAACACTGCTACTTCCTGACACCAAGTAAGCACTCCTGAAACGTTTCTGAATGTGCAGTATGCTACATCTTCTCAGTGCAGCAAAAGCTGCCACCTATGATGGAGCCTAAAGTGCATGGGAGTTGGCTCTCCTTCCTTCAGTGCATAGTTTTGTGCTCCAGGCTCTCCTTTACCTGGGCGTGTAAATGTGTCCAAGGCTTCAGAGAGGGGAGACACCATGCCATGAGAGGCAGACTGGGACCAGGACTACTCAGATGGAGGAGCCAAGGACAGAAATTGCAGGTGGCTAGAAGTTGTTTCCTTGTTCCAACACAGCAGTAATTCTTAGGCCTTTCCAGATGATATTTTGGTCACAATGCATTAAGAAACTCCAGGATGTAAATGAAGACTCCATAAAATTCCTTCTTCCCACACCACTGCAGGCTGCAGTGGCTCTGAGATGCTTACAGCAATGGGGTGTGTATTAATGAGACACTAAAGCATGCCCTGGTATGTTCTGATGAGTTTTCAGTGTAGCCTTTTCAACCCTGCTCTGAATCCTTAATATATAAAAATGGAATTTATTTTCCATTCTTTTTCTTCCCACTGGGTTCAGGCAGGGTCAAAATATGGCAATAAATGTAATTTTGCTTCTCATTTGCTGAGTGTACTCCCTTTGAAGACACAATGGCTCCTTTTCTATTCTCCGGTGTGCTGTTATCTTCCAGATACTATTTGAGCCATCTTTTACCCCTCTTCACATTTAGTGAGAATATTTTCCACTTAGCCAGCTGTCTGCTCTGAGGCATATTTTACAGTATCCTTATATCTTATGACTTATTGCATTCGACACCTAGATGAGGCCTTTATGACTACCAGATTGTTGCTATTATTTTTATCACCAAAAAGTCTTCATTAAGCATGCATTAAGAAAAACACAAAAGGAAAGAAAACTGTATAGACTGGACTTAGTTATCTGGTGCCTTATAATCTGAGAAGCCTCTTGTCCCTCTATGTCCAATACACACATTATTCAAAAAATGCATTTTTAAAAAATACAGTAAGTAACCAGCTTGGCAGAGGCGACAACAATGAATTGAAGACAGGAGAGGGCAAACTAATGCAGAGAGCGGATCAGAAGTGCTTTCTGATTAAGAAGGTCCGAGGACACCATTGTAAGAAGAGAGTGGGACTAAGGTTCTCAGTCCTAGAACTTCTCCCCCACAGTCCCTCTCAGTTCTCTGTCTGACTTGGAGATAGAATTTTTGGAACTCTTGTCCTGAATGTTGAGTGGCCAGGTTTCATTTCCTTCTAAGACATGTAGTTTGAATTCTGTGTGTGTTTTTAGTTATATCAGACATTTTGCAATGTATGGTTGTCATATCAAAAAACAAGATTTGATCCATGGTGGGTGGCTCTTGTCATAATGAACTCATTCTATTGTATTTATTTTCAACATAAATAAAAAATAAGTGCATTTTGAAAAAACGTAGTCCAAGTAAAGATTTTCCCCTGAGCACTTTCAGATGCCGAATGAAAGCCTCTTATCATTGCAGGTGGGATGGAAGACAACCCGTGAGTATTACACCTTCATGTGGGTTACTTTGCCCATTGACCTAAACAGCGAATCGACTAAGCAACAGGAAGTCCATTTCAAAGGTGAGAAAAATACTGGATCAAAGGTGTTGGAGACAGTTAGCAGCCAAGACTAACTTACTCCCTTGAACTTGGGCTTTCTGGAGCAGATAAAAGGCTTCCAGATTTTTTAGTTTTCTGCATAGGCCTTATTTGAGATTACAAATCACTTTGTGTTTTCAGCTTATTACCTGCCCAAGGATGATGAGTATTACCAGTTCTGCTATGTGGATCAGGATGGTGTGGTCCGGGGCGCAAGTATCCCTTTCCAGTTCCGTCCAGAAAATGAGGAGGACATCCTGGTTGTTACCACGCAGGTCTGTAAACATCTCACCTCCATCCCTTCCTGCTAGTAAGAGTAGCAATTCTAGGATGGGATGGAATTTGAGTCAATAAGGTGTTATTGAATCTTTAACAGATACTTTTGAGAAGAACTTACACTGTACCCACTCAAACCCACTTAGGAATGACTTAGGAACATTAACAAGAATGAGAACAAGTGATTTCTCCTTTCTCTAAAGCTTCTGTAATTCAGTTGGAATTCTGTTATCCCCTGAATAGTTACTTAATTTTTGTCATCTCCACATGTTATCACCACAGTAAATAAATAAGCTCCTTTGAGGAGAGATGCACCAAATCTTCTTTGTATCTCAGTTCTGACCCAGAGCCTGTCATGCATGACTATTAAATTCATTTGCTCAGTCGGTTACTTAACAGGACACCTACTTTCCATCCAATACGATGGTAGGCACTAGGGATGCAGTGAAGAATCAATCAAAACACTGTCCCTGGCCTCAAACAGCGAGTCCAGTAGGAGAGACAAACAATACTAAATGTTTGCAAGAAAAATCTACATTCCTTTGTCATTTCACTTTTGATGGCTTTAATTTTATCTTTCTCATTAATGGTAGGCTCAGTGCTGCAATTATAGAGACATACTCTATTATCCCCCTCCCTACGTACTAAGGAGCTGCACCCATTTTGAGTACACAGATGTCACTGCAGTGAGTGGGAATTATCCAGACCCTCGCCATCTCAGGCTATATGAATTTTCTGCTAGAGGGATTTAAATATCCACTGAGCTATAAAGAGTCGAATACAAATTTATGGAATGCTCTTCCATAGGGTGAGGTGGAAGAGATTGAGCAGCACAACAGTGAGCTTTGCAAAGAAAACCAGGAGCTGAAGGACAGCTGTGCCATCCTCCAGAAGCAGAACTCAGACATGCAGGCTGAGCTCCAGAAGAAGCAGGTATGACTGCTGGTTAAAGGTGAACTTGGAGTATGGAAATCAGATTGATGCTCTTATCCTGTGCTATTTTCTGTTTTGCTTGTGATCTTCTTCCCTTATGCTAATAACTTTGAATGGGCACAGTGTTAAAAGTTTTATATGGCTTGTTTTGCTTAAACTTCATGGCAAACCTTTGGAATAGATACAATTATTATCCCAGTTTTATAGATGAGTAACGTGAGGCTCAGAGAGGTTAAGTTATCTCTTACACAGCTAATTACTGATGGAGCCCGGATTCAAACCCAGGCAATCTGATGGCTTCTTCCCACTGCCTATTTATAAGTTGAAATAATTTACTCTGATTAGCTAGAAAGTAGACATCAAGAGAGAAGAGAGTAGTGAAGTAAGTTTGCAGGTTTTCCAAACTCTTTGCTACTTCTCTTTTTAATCACCCTTCAAATCAGCAGGTAGTGAATAAGAGCTGATAATGCTAAAAGCTAAAGTTTTCTCTAAAGACTATAAACTAATTACACTGAGGTTATAGCTTAGACATTTCCAGAACACACAGACCTTGGCAATCACCACCTGTAAAGCCCTTGATCTACAGATGAGAAAGCAGGCCCAGAGGAGAAGCAAGGAGGTCTGTTTCGTGATCACACTGGGTTTGGACTCACTTCTCTTGACTCCCAGTGCTCTGTTCTTTACACCATGCTGTCACACATGTGCCTATGCTATCCTCGACCCTGGGCTGGTATAGAGTGTGCACAGCCAGTCCAGGCTACAGACCTGGGCTGTCCCAGGCAGTGAAATAACAAACAAACATGGCATAGGTGTACCTCACAACTTGGCTGTCAAGAACCAGCATCTGGCCAGGAGCCCTACAGCCCAGCTCACTTGCTAGGTTCTAGCCAAGGAATCAGCGGGTCTAGGTTCTTGAGTTAGTTCTCATACATATTTGCGACCAGTTATTATAATGATGACAAAAGCCAGTATTTATTCAGCACCTACTGTGTGCCAGGTATTATAATTAAGCACATTGCTTCACATTATTCTTAGAACAGCCCTGCACCTCAGAGAGGTTAAGTGACTTCCTCAATGTGACAGTCTGTTTGTGGCTTTGGAACGAGCTGGGATTTGAACTCAGATACTTTTGATGTTAAAGCCCAAGGTTTTGAGAGGTAGGATCATACAATGATTAGGAACCTTGTCTTTGGAGGCACACAGGCTGATTCTCTCACTTATTATTTGATGAACCAGAAGAAATTTCTTAACATCTCTGATGAGCCTCAGTTTCCTTTCCTATAAAAATGGGATTGATAATACCTTTTTTTCTCAAAGAGATACTAGTACACCCATGTTTATAACAGCATTTTTCTCAATGGCCAAAGGGTGGAGGTAGCCCGGGTATTCAGTGATGGATAGATGGATAGACATGGCATGGTGCGTACATACAATGGAATATTGTTAACCTTTAAAAGGGAAGGAAATTCCGATACCTGCCGTAGCATAGACGAACCTTGAGGACATTATACTGGGTAAAGTGGGTCAGACACAGAGGGACAGATACCATATGATTCCACTTATGAGGTACCTAAAGTAGTCAACTTAATAGAAACAGAATGTAGAATGGTGGTTGCTAGGGGCTGGGGGGAGGGAGAAATAGGGGTCCGGTATTTAATTGGTACTGAGCTTCAGTTCTGCAACATGAAAAGAGTTCTGTGGATGAATGTGGTGATGGTTGTGCAACAATATGAATGTACTTAATGCCACTGAACTATATGCTTAAAAATGGGTAAGATGGTAAATTTTATGTTATATATATTTTACTATAATTTTTTAAAATGATTTTCTTAAAAGAAATGATTTTTTAAACTTATTTAAATCTTGGAACTAAAAGCAGGGAGTTATTATTGACATACAAGGTTGGCTTCAGAAGTGCAGAATGGAATTGAGAAAAAAAACCTAATGTTTAGAACCAGTATGGTCGCCACTAGCCATCTGTGAAATGTGATGTATTGTGATATGCTGTAAGCATAAAATGTATGCCGGATTTTGAAGACTCAGTATTAAAAAATGTAAAACTTTTTTAGTGTTTACATATTGAAATGACATTTTATACATACCTGGTTAAATATACTATTGGCAAAATTAATTTCATGTTTCTTTTTACTTTTTTTAATGTGGCTAGTAATATTTTTAGATTACATATGTGGCTTTCTGAATTTATTGGACAGAACTTTTCTAGGAGAAAAGCAACGTTGTTTTATCCACTGCTGTCTCTGCAGTGTCAGAACAGTGTCTCGTGTAGAATAGGCACTTATTAAATGTTTGCTTAAGAATTAATGGGTAAATATATGCTCTAGTGGAAGAGAAATTAAGGTAGATGTGTTTTTTAAATGGAAATAACATATTAAGAACATTTCAATGTGGAATTCCTTTACTTGGATTATTTCATTCACTGTGTATCGTGCTATGCCTGACGTATAATACGTGCTCAGTTAATATCTGTTGGCTGCCTGAGATTCTAAAACTCTTAGAAATGGTTTGTCCCTTTGGAATTTCAATCTGTAGGAGGAGCTAGAAACCCTAAAGAGCGTCAACAAGAAGTTGGAGCAGAAAGTAAAAGAGCAGAAGGACAGTTGGGAAACTGAGCTGCTTCGGTGAGTGCGATTCTTGGATGGGAGGAACTGCTGTATTATAAACTCCCTTAGCATTCTAGAATTTGTTAGAAAACTGTCTTCCTATTATGACAGTGATAGGTGTGATTCTCCCCTTTGAATCATGAGCTCTTTGATTCTAGGTTAGAGAATCAATATCAGAATGGTGAGGAGAAATGACGTGGATTCAGATATTAATGTTAAGTATTAAATACTTGCACTTTGCTGTCAGGAAGCCAAGATGAGACTAGTGGATTTTAAAAGAACTCTTCAGGCTTAAGGCCAAGGCAGCCTTTAATCATTGAAGGCCTGGGGAAGCCAACCTGGCATCAGCATATGTTTCACATAGTCATCTCATCTCCACCTCCTCAGACTGAAAGAACAAAACCAGAAGATAGCCTCAGAAAATGGGAAGATGGGAGTCAGAGTGGATCAGCTTCAGGTGGGTGATGCCAAACCTTTGCCCAAGTATGTTTCTTAGCCTTGCCACCACTCCTCTCTGATGGCCCAGAAAGATGCATTTCATTGTAATGAGTGCCTAATGGTGTACCTTTCAAAGCATCAGGCTAAAGTTTCAGAGTATGTTTTCTATTCTTGATCCCTCCCCACCCCCTCTTTTTTTATGGTCACAGTTTACAAGGAACTGAATAATTTATTCAGTTTATATTTATCATGAGCTCCAATGGATAACTGTCATCTATACCAATGGTTTTCAAACTTCTTTCTTTTAGCTACAAAATCTTTTCAAGCAATTCTTACTCAAAAACCTGGAATGTAAAGCAGAGAGCACAACTGTTCTCTTTTTGGGAAGCTGTGCCTTAAAGAAGGGCTTTAAAGAATGATTTGTCGAATTTTACTCAGTCAAGTCTTAGATTCTTAGGTTATAATATAAGGCTGAAAAGTGAAGAAGTTTTAAGGGATATTTAGTAGTTGGAGTTGCTAGGGAACACACATCTCTTTATGTCAATATACATTAAAGCATTGTTCCTGGTTAGTTTTCCTTCTTTTATATCTTGGTCATATTCACTATTTTTGCCTTAGGCCCAGCTGTCAACTCAAGAGAAAGAAATGGAAAAGCTTATTCAGGGAGAACAAGATAAGACAGAGCAGTTGGCGCATCTGAAAAAAGAAAATGGCACACTCTTCCTCAGTTTAACTGAACAGGTAGAGTCATGGAAGAAAATAACATTTTTAGGCATTTATAAAATAATATATACATTGTTCTTTCTTTATCATATCCCTGGATATTACTGGCTCTGGAAAGGGTCTTAGAGGAAGCCATCTGAAATGAGGGATCTTATGACTTTTCTCAGAAACTATTAAGTGAAGACTTGCTTCTTTTCTGCATCCTGCTTATTTGTTAACTCAGCCGGCCCTTCCCCAGTGCGTGCATGTGTTTGTATTTCTGTGTATGCACACATGTGTCTGTATTTTTCCAGCAGTGGTAATGAAATCTGTTTTTGTGCAGAGGGAGCAACAGATGAAGCTCAAGCAGACAGTGGAGGAGTTGAAGCAGAAAGAAGCTACTGCAACCAAGAAACAGCAGGAGTTAACGGCATGTCTGCCTTTGGGTGACTGTGTGGGTGGGAGCCTGCAGAAAGGAGGGGATAGGATCTATTTTTAGGTGATGGAAAGGAGACACAAGACAGGATAGAGTAGCACTTACCTCTGGACATTTTGTACTCTACCCAAAAATACAGAGAATCTGCTAGTTACAAATGTTTAGGAGAGGTGGGCATTTCTAATGTATGATGGGTGATAAAAGAATATTGGAACTTAAACTTCATGACAGGTTATAGTAAATAGAGCCTTGGGCTAGGAATCACACAGAATAACCCCTATCCCCTTCTTAAAGAGTTATCATGCAGGCAGGCAAATTAATAATTATAAAGTTGAGCTCTACGATTAGAAAATATTACAGGTGGCTCCATAGTGTAGTGGTTAGCACATCTGCTTTACACATAGACGGTCCTGGGTTCATGCCTTGGGTGGAGCCATGGACCATACCCCGGGGGCGCCAGGCCCCAGGTAAACACCATGAGCCGTAGGAGGAGACGCCACTCCTTCAGAGATCCAGTTCTTAAGGGGAAACAGCATCATCCATAGGTCAGAGGTGGAAGTGGAGGGGGGCGGGGCGCGTGGAATTAAAGAGGGAGAAAAAAGAAAAAAATTACAGCAAGTCAAAGCATAATTGACTAAGAATTTCCTATTATTAGTAATATATTATTGGAAAAGAGGCCTCATAGTGATGACAGGTGCCCAGACGCCCCATTTTCTGAACTGATGTGAGAGCATGAGAAATCCTGATGTCTAGCGGATATCCAGCTATTAGGATTGTAACTGGTATCATAAGTGCACCATTCATTCATTTACTCATTATTCAGTCAGTTATCGAGTACCTACTATATACTGTCATTTTAGCCTGATATAATAAAGAGTAAAACAGATTGAAAATCAACAGCTCACAGATTAATTTTAGCCCACAGAAATGTTTTATTTGGCCTACATAGTGTTTTGGGTTTTTTTTAATTGAATTAATTATCAACACTTAAAAATGAGAATATTTCCCATAAAAAATTGCATTCCAGCTTCTCTTGACAAATTCGAGGATCT